ACTGGCAACAGAAATGAATTAGGATAGGGTACTATTTTTGCATACATGATAAACCAGGACGTGTTAAATATGGAGTATGTACCACACAAAGAAAAAAAAGTTACAGACTTTGATTTCATGGCTTTTGGCCCTTGGAAGAACTACTGATTCATTGAGTTCTGTTCAGGCAATGTGCTTTCTGTTAATTTGGAGAAATGTTATAAAGGCTACCAAAAATCTATTCTTGTATTTATCACAAGGCTATCACTGATGAGATTAATAAAATCAGCACCATATCACTGCCTCACAGGGAGGTATTATCATTCCCATTTTGCAAGTGAGGAAAAAGCAATTCAGAGAAATTATCCAAAGTCACGCACATGTAGTAACCGGTGGAGCCAGTACTTGAATCCATAGCTTGTTCACAATAAAGTCAACTGAATTCTTTCCATAGTACCATGCAGACTGTTTAATTTACCCTCCACACATATCCTCAATATACATTTGTTGAATTTAATTAATGGTTTACTTATGCACAAAGATCATTCTCTTCATAGAAACAAAGACAATGAAGCATACTGAAATTAGTCACTCACAGGTATGGGCCTAACTGTAGTTAACACTGGGTGATTAACATGCCAGGCACTGTTCTAAACAAATTTTATCTCATTCAATCCTTCTACAACCTCAGAGATAGATACAAACATCTCCACTTTACAGATGAGACATTGAAGTACAATGTTAAGTAACTGGTCAAAGATAAGACAGCTAATAAATGGTGGAGTTAGAGATTTGCATTCAGATAGTCTGGCTCTAAATTCTAAACCACCATGCTATAGTAACCTTCATTAAAACTGAAGAACTTAAAAAGGTCTTTATCAGTTTATAATGCCCCAAATTTCTCATTCTGCAGTAAGAGAAAATTGAGAACAAGAAAAAGAAAATAGCTTGCTTTAAGATTAGTCTCTCAGCTATTTAGCAGCAGAGCAGACTAGAAACCAACTATCCTAAAATCATGTAGATTTATATCTTGTGGAGAGCAAGGACTGTCTTTGTTTTTTACACCACCAATCAGCACCGCATTTAGCACAGTGTTTGATGAATAAATGATGATCATGCATGACAGTCACATAATGGCAGAGCCAGAACCAGAATCCATGGCCAAACCCAGAGTAGTCACATTTAATCATGCTGCCTTCTTTCTTTAATACTAAAACAAATACTGTAAAATACAAGTTGTTCACACCTGAATCTTTCTTGGCACGTGGATTATATCCATACTTCTGGAAAAACTCTCTTATTTTCATGATATCCACTGAATTTTTTTTCATCAGTACTTTTGTTGCCTTTATGAAACCAATGCTTTCTTGACTTTCCAAACTTGCTTGATCAAGAAGAATACTGACATCATCCTTTTATAAGGAAAAAAAGTACATTATAATTTCTCTATCTTTTGACTAAGTCTATCTAGATTTTAAAAATTATGACACAAAGATGATCTATTAATATTGTAGAAGTGATACCTTTAGAGTCTGGACTTCTGAATGAAGGTCATATAAAATTCTCATTGGGTAATCTTCCCAGTCTTCAATATGAATAGAGAAAGGAAAAAGTGCAATAAGGAAAAAGAGGAAAAAGAACAGAAAATATAATTTAGTGTTGTTTCTTAGAATTAAAAAATCCTTGTCGATATTTATTCATAATTTGTCAATTCCAAAAAAAAAAAGTGTAAAGACCTTTCTTTTAAAATTTATGAAATTACAACATACATACAGAAAAGTACAAAAGTCATAAGTATATAGCTTCACGCACTTTGAAAGTGAACATACCCTACATAATCAGTACTCAGATCAAGAAGGAAAGAAGGGAAGGGAGGGAAAAGGAGAAAATGTAATCTGACTTAGCAATTTTTTTATGGTGAGCACCTTCTGGCTCCTAGTTTTAAAATCTTTGCCAATGACAACACTTACGTTTTCTTCTAAGTGCTTTACTGTTTGCCTTGTGCATTTAGAGCTACAATCTACCTGGAATTGATTTTTTTATATGGCAAGAAGTAAGGATCAAGATCCATTCTTATTTTCCATATGAGTGTCCAACTGACCTGGCACCATTTATTGAAAAGACATCCTTCACTCATTGTACTGTCACTTTTCTTACTATCAGTTGCAATATGTATAATATACATCATGTAAAAGCAGTTTTTTAAATACTATTTTTCTTTCTAAAACATGCCTCCTTTGAAGATCTCCTTTCACTTGTTAAAAGCTGACCAATTTTCATTTGGGAAGTGCAAGTCAACAAAACAGTGATACTTCATACCCACTAGAATGACTATATTCAAAAAGACAAATAATAAATGATGAGGATGTGGAGAAACTACAACCTTCATTCATTGCTGGTGGAAATGTACAATGGTGCATCCACTTTGGAAAACAATTCGGCAGCTCTTCAAAAAGTTAAACATAGGGTTATCATATGACCCAGCAATTCTAAGAGCATACCAAAGAGAACTGAAAACATTATGTTCACCCAAAAACTCACCCACAGATGTTTACATACATTCATAATAACTAAAAAGTGGAAACAACCCAAATGTTCATCAACTGATGAATAAACACAACGTGGTATATCCATACAATGGAATATTATTCAGCAATAAAATGAAGTACTGATACATGCTTATGACATGAACGAACCTTGCAACATTATGCTAAAATAAGTCAATCACAAAAGCCTACAAATTGTATGATTCGTTTTATCTGAAATATCCAGAATAGGCAAATTCATACAGACGAAAATAGATTAGTGGTTGCATAAGGCTAGTGTGGTAGGCGGGGGTGGGATTATGGGGAGTGGATACTAACAGTCACGAGGGTTTCTTTTGAGGGTGATGAAAACCTAAACTTACTATAATGGTTGCACAACTCTGTGAATTTATAAAAAACCATTGAGTTATAGCCTTTATTCCTTTAAAGATTTATTTATTTATTTGAGAGAGAGCACGGGCGCCCAGGGGCAAGGTGTAGAGGGAGAGAGAGAATCCCCAGCAGACTCCCTGCTGATTCATCACTGTGATCACAAAAGGTGAGATTTTTTGGCGATCATTTTCTCTATCACAATTCCATATTTTCTGTAATACATATTGGCTGCAAATGAAGAAAATGCAAAATTTGTGTACACAGTTAATATGCTGGTAAGAAGGTAAATTAACACAAACTTCATGGAAAGCAATTCAGCTATATATCAAGAATGCAAAGAGGCACCTAGCTGGCTCAGTCCCTTGAGTATATGACTCTTGATCTCAGGGTCATGAGTTCAAGCCCCACATTAGGCCTAGAGCTCACAAAAAACAAAAAAGAGAGAGAGAGAGAAGACAAACACAAAATAATAAAATACTAATAGTGCTGTCTTTGAATGGTTGAGTTATAGGAAATATTTGTTTTCCTCTTTCTACTTTTCCGTACCTCAAATTTTTTGCCATGTACATGTATTGTTTTACAGTCAAAAGAATAAACATTTTTAAATGGCTGGAACACTGTTCGTAATATAAATAAACTAAAGGAGGCTGTGTCTATGGGGCACCATATTTTAAGGCAAATTACAATTATGACATTTATAAAATAATCTCAAAATCTGAACTACTCTTGAAACAATTTTTTAAAAAATTTCTAATATAAAGATTAGTAGTGATGAATTCTGCTATATTTATTTTTTTTAAAGAGCAGTATTCAGGGGTGCCTGCCTGGCTCAGTCCCAAGAGCAGGCAACTCTCGATCTCTGGGTCGTATGTTTGAGCCCCACATTGGGTGTAGAGATTACTTTAAAAAAAAAGAAGAAAAAAGCAAGCAAGCAGGCAGTATTGAGTACTAGTGTTTGTGTTGGCAATACTGTTTGCTGGGAAAAACAGGCATTTCCTGCAACTGTGGATCATTTGGGTGAGACAAAGTCACTATGCATGTAAAGAACCCTGCTGCATTTTGTTTAATTTTCATTATATTGTATTTTTATTGATAAATACCCATTATATGTGACTTGAAAGCATAATATGTATAAATTATTGTATGCATTATGAGTTCAATCTGTCAATTTACATTCTTACTCTATGCTGTTTCTCTTTACAACACAGTAATAGAGCTATTTCATTATTTGAGGAGAGCAAATGTCGTACATAGAACTGAAAACAGCCACAACATACTTGAGGGGGCATAAGAATATAAAGGTGGCGCTTGTCACTTCGGGACTGCTAACGACAAACAGCCAGCATTGTGATAGGTGTACCACCCCCATTCCGTATCTCTTTCGAAGCACTCCTCACCACTGTAGACAAATAACCTTTCTGCAAGCGTGTGATTTTTACTTGTTAAGGCCCTTCTGACATGCCTCACTCCTGGCTGGCTGAGGGCGGCCGGGAGGGTCGTAGTAGCCGCGATCCGCCGCCGCGATCCGCCACAACGCCCGCCCGCTTCACTCACCGCTCTCCTCTCCGTCCAGCGCTCGCTGCAGCCGAGCCGTCTCGCTGTCTAGGGTGACGGCCAGAGACCGTAGCTTCGCGTGGAAGCTTCGGATCAGATCCATGGGTAAGAGCTCCTCAGCAGTACACTAGACGCAAGGAGAGTCCACCGCTCCGGTTACGCCCGCCACTAGTTTGAATCTCTTTGCGCCGGAAGCGTTCCTGGCTCCGCGGCGACGCACTAGTCCTCTCTCGCGAGAACTGAAGTCTCGCGCGAAGAGGCAAGGAGGTTCTGAGGGACGGGCGCACTTCCGTCGTGTCAGCTGGCGTTCGGAGTGTGTGCGGTGTCCTGAGGAACGCGGTCGGTGAGTTGGTTGGCATATTTCGTTGTTTCACGAGTCCTCTTCTTTTCCCTGTCGCGCCTGGTTGGGCTCCCCGCTTCATTTGGGGTGCGGTGTGCGCTCTCGGAGATGGCCGAGTGGCAAGAGAACCGTGTTGCGCGCGCTCGCGTTTGCTTCTTCCCGCGGCCAAACAGTTGTGGAGCGACTTCTGCCCTGTCTCAGCAGGTGCCATGTTCCTGACCGCCCTCCTCCGCCGCAATCGCCTTCCTGGCAGACAGTGGATCGGGAAGCACCGGCGGCCGCGGACCGTGTCTTTCCACGCGAAGGAGAGGATGATCCGTCGCCTGGAGGTCGAGGCGGAGAACCATTACTGGCTGAGCATGCCCTATCTCACCGCGGAGCAGGAGTACGGCCACGCCGCGGAGCGCAGGGCGGCGGCCTTCGAGGCCATCAAGGCGGCCAGCATGTCCAAGTTCCCCCCCAGCAGATTTGTGGTAGACCAGCTCGACCATCTCAATGTCTCCAAGAAGTGGTCCTAACCCGGAGCCACCACCTTTCAGTTGGACGGATCACAGGGCTGCCACCTCTTGACCCGATTCTGGAACCGAAAAACTAACCTCTGGGGGAAAAAATGAGCATTTGGACCAGCCTTGTTGAACAGCAGGCATGAGTGTAGTGGTCTCATATAGCATATCTGGGGCTCCAAACTCTTCAATGCTTCATAGTCCTGTCTAGTCCAGTCTCTGTCCTGTTGTTTCCTTTTCCGTTTCCCTGATGGGAAGATACAAGAGATTTCCTAGGTCACAGAGGATATAAAATGTATTTTGGATGAAAGCTTCCAAAAAACCTGCAAACTGTGGTTTGGAATCTGTGCTTAAGTATGAGGTACTTGATGGGGGTTTACCTTTCTTCAAAAGAATAATTGCCTAAACATAATTTAAAAAAAAAGTTTTTTCAGTTACACATACTCCTGCAAATAGCATTTTCTTCTGGGATTGCTAAAAGACATTTAAATAAAGTAAAAGGTACTCATCAGAACTGTTACATGAAGTTTTATTTTAAAAACCTCTTTTGAGGTACCTGGGTGGCGCAATCGGTTAAGCCGGTCTAACTCTTGGTTTCCCGAGATGGTGATCTCAGGGTTGGTGAGATCCAGCCCTGCATAGGGCTCCATGCTCTGGGGGAATCTGCTTAAGATTCTCCCTCTGCCCCTCCCCCCACCTCAAATAAATAAATCTTTAAAAATAAAAAAAAATTTTTTAAAAACCTTTCTGGGATGTAATAATGAACCTTACAGTCCACCAGTTGAAGATGTTTGTTTTTTCAAACCTTTTTCAGAATGTAATAGTCAAGCACTTTACAGGTGTTACCAGATACAGTAATCCTATCACCTGGGGCTATTTTACATGTGAGGAAATATTTAAGAAACTTGTCCATAATCATACCCAATAATGAATGTGACTTGGATTTCAGTTTCTGTATAATCTAGAAATCGTAACTGCTATGTATGTATATATTTAATAGAACATTTTCAAAACACGTAGAAGAAAAATAATTCAATCCCATTACCCAGAGATGAAACATATATTGAGTCTATATGGATAAATAGAATTTAGAGCTAAAAACTCTAACATTTAAAGATCGTGATGCGTATTGCCAGTGGCTTTCCAGAAAGATTGTAAAACAGCAAGATCAATGTATGAGAGTGCCAATCTCATTTGCCAGCATTGACTGTTACCTTCATTAATATGAATGATTCGTGATTTACATTTAAATATCTGCCATTGGGATGTATAGGCTTTGGTGCACATACTAGTTTTTTTTTTTTTTTTTGATTCATTGCACCTGAAAAGTACCTGCCACATGATAGTTGAATGCTTAACCAAGCTGAACTGTTCTTAATATGTCATTCTTAGTGGTGTATAAATACTTGTTGAATGCTTTTTGTAGTTTACAGAAATGTCTCTGATTCATATGAGCAATTTAGTTTGACCTTTTATTTTCATATCTGGAAATGGTGACAGCTGATGCTGTTTAGGAGAAAGGTGAAGGAAGGGGGCTCAGGGGACCTGCTTAAAACTGTAACTATGTTGCTTTGATACTCATGTAACTCAGAAACTGACTTTGGAGTTTGAAAAAGCAATGGTTAACTTGAACCTTAAGGAAAAAGATGCTAAAATCTTAAGAGTCTGAAGAAACAGAAGGCAGTTCATGAGAAGAGAGGTATTTTATCCCCACTATACAGGTTAGAAACTGAAGCTCAGAAATGTCAGCAACATTCCCATGTTCACACAGCTAACAAACAATAAAGGTAGAATTCAGGACTAGGTTTATCTAAAGACCATATTCCATTTTTTTTTTTTAAGATTTTATTTATTTATTTGAGAGAGAGAGACTGAGAGAGAGCGTGAAAGGGGGGAGGGTCGGAGGGAGAAGCAGACACCCCGCTGAGCAGGGAGCCTGATGCGGGACTCGATCCAGGGACTCCAGGATCATGACCTGAACTGAAGGCAGTCGCTTAACCGACTGAGCCACCCAGGTGCCCCCTGTTTTTCTTATTATTATATTGGGTTATGGGTTTTGGGGAAGAAGACCATAAAGGTGAATTGCTGTTCTCATCATATCAAATCAAATGTATATACATTCAGTATGATTTATCATTGTTGATACTGACCTTTCTCACTTGGCTGAGGGAGTGCTTGCTAGATTTGTCCATGGGAAGGCTACTCTCCCCACTCACACCCGTGCAATCCATTTTGTACTCTTTTTTTTTTTTAAGATTTTATTTATTTATTTGAGAGAGAGAGAATGAGAGAGAGCACATGAGAGCGGGGAGGGTCAGAGGGAGAAGCAGACTCCCTGCCGAGCAGGGAGCCCGATGTGGGACTCGATCCCGGGACTCCAGGATCATGACCTGAGCCGAAGGCAGTCGCTTAACAAACTGAGCCACCCAGGCGCCCAAGACCATATTCATTTTAATATAGTACACTAGCTGCTATAGCTTGTTTTAAATCACTTCTTGGCCAAAGCAATACTGTTGAAACAGCTGACTTTTCTCCTTGAAACTCTACAACTGTTACCACCATAGCCATCATAAAGTTAATCTTTTTTATCAACAACAGAGTCCATTGCCACCCAGCTGATTATAATTATATTGTAATAAAATATGTGCCAACCTGTACATTATGAACAGTCACTCCTTTGTAATACAGCTCCGGCTCTGTGTCTCATCCAGTTGTTCACTTTGCAAATATTTATGGAAGATCTATCATGACATCCTGGTGCTATTGATCATTAAGCTTAAGGAGTTTACTGTCTCACTGGATAAAAGGCACAGTGTAAGTAATACAGCATGAGATTGACTTCATGGATGTAAGTATAAGGTATAATAAGAATCCAGGGAAATGGTCATTTGTCAACCTTACCTGAAGAGTGAGGAAACTAACTTCAGAAGAGGTGATCTTTGAACAGATTCTTAGTTTGCCTGGTAGGAAGTAAAGGTAGAAGTAACAGTCTAATGATTAGTCATGGAATTGCCAGTAGTTTAGTTGCAATATAGGGTATTTTTGAGTGGGGAAGAGAAGTGATAGACAATGAGGCAAGATGGAGGCAGTGACCAGATTGTGAAAGTTCTTGTATGACACTTTAAGTAGTTTGGCTTTTATCCTATAAGTAATGGGGAGCCATCAAAAATGTTTAGTTAAATAATGGGAAGCATTGTGGAGAATGGCTTGAAAGAAGAAATGACTAGGAATAGAAAGACGTGGTGGCTATTAAAATAATCCAGTTACATATTGAAATTTGGATGGTGGGAGTGGAAGGAGGTTAAGAGAATTAACAGAAGTTTGTGACCATTTGTATAACCTCTAATTTTCTGCTTTGGGTCCCTAAGTGGAGGGTACTTTATGATTTAATCAGGATAATACATACACCTTCAGTGCTTTGCCTCTCCAGTGTATTCCCTGGAAAATCTACTGGATGAACCCGACCATTTGCCTTTTGTTGAGAACCAACTTAACTGCTGAATATTGCTGGAGAAAATCACTTAATTAGGATTATTAGTTTCTGTTTAAAGCTCTCTGAGGTCTGCTTAAATGACCACAAACCCCATACTGGAACTCAACACTGCCCAGCAACCTTACCATGTGAGTTAGTTTGCTAGAGCTGCCAGAACAAAATTCACAGTGGCTTGAACATTTATTTTTTCACAGTACTTGGAAGCTGGGTGTTTTGAGATCAAGGTGTTGGCAAGTTGGTTTTCTCTGAGGGCCATAGGAAGGATCAGTTCCAGCCCTCTTTGCTTGCAAATGGCTGCCTTGCTGTGTCTTCATGTTTGTCATGCTGTGCTTACAGGTGTCTGGTATCAATCTGTGTGTCTAAATTTCCTCTTCATATAAGGACACCAGCCATAGGGCCCACCATAGGCCCACCAGCCATAGGGCCCACCTTCATAGCCTCATTTTAATCACCTCTTTAAAGACCTTATCTCCAAATATGATAACATTCTGAGGTACTGGGGGTTAGGACTCCAACATATGTATTTGGGGGTCACAAATAAGCCCATAACATGTTTCTCTGATTGCTGTAATTCCTATTCAGTGTGATAAATTTTCTTCTCTCCAAAAGCCGCCTACCTACAGGCCTTCCTCCATCATCACTCTCAGCTGGGGACCTAGGCTCATATTTTACTGATAAAACTAAAGCCCATGGATGTGAATCCCTTCATCTTCACAGCACCAAATCGACATGTACTAATTTTCTCTCCTTTGTTAAAATCAAGGATATGTCCCTTGTTTCCAATGCAATGCCAGAGTTTATGATGATTAATTAAACACATAGGTTTCTCTCTTCTCTCCCAAAACCTTGGCAAGGTGACAGTGAAAACATTTTTAAAATTATTAACCCTTGAGAAGAAAGAGAAAGCAATAGACAAGCTATTTCAATGAATATTTTGGAAGAAATAAGAAGGATGTTTGGGATGTTGACACAACAAAGGGAAGAAAGTTGTAATCTAAGCATCTGTAGAAGAGTCAAAGAGCCTCCCAAGAAGCTCAAGTGGGAGGCAGCTGGATGATGAACTCCAGCAAAACTAGAGAGTAAAACAAGAATGAAAAAGGCATGAATTTATACAGGAGAGCAGGGAAGGAAAGTACCAACATAACTGTTTCGAAGTTGTCTAGAAGTCAGTAGGTCCAGATTGGAGCAGGAGGTTGGAAGACTCAGGAAAAGTATGATTAGAAGGAAACTTCCTTAACCTAACAAAGGATTTCTAAAAATGTATAGAAAACCTATTGCTAACATCACACTTACTTGTGAATGAACTAATTGTTTCCCCCTAAGATCAGGAACAATGTTAGGATGACTCTTTTTTTTTTTTTTTTTTAAAGATTTTATTTATTTGACAGAGAGAGACACAGCGAGAGAGGAAACACAAGCAGGGTGAGTGGGAGAGGGAGAAGCAGGCTTCCCACTGAGCAGGGAGCCCGATGCAGGGCTCGATCCCCGGATCCTGGTATCATGACCTGAGCCGAAGGCAGACGCTTAACGACTGAGCCACCCAGGCGCCCCTAGGATGACTCTTCTCACCAGTATTGTACTGGATTATATAGTCAGTGTAATAAAGCACTAAGAAGAAATAAAATCCATCCAGATTGAAAGTAAGAAAACAGTCCTTAACAAATGACAAGTTTGTCTATATAGAAAATGACAAAAATGCTACCAAAACCAAGTGAATTTGATAAGGTTGCAGGAATGAGATCAATACTCAAAAATCAACTGTATTTTTATATACTATCAATGAACAAATTAAAAATTTAAATGCCATTTCCAGGGGTGCCTGGGTGGCACAGTGGGTTAAGCATCCAACTCTTGGTTTTGGCTCAGGTTGTGATCTCATGGTTATGAGATGGAGCCCACATTGGGCTCCATGTTCAGTGCAGACTCTGCTTGAGATTCTCTCTCCCTCTCCCCCTCCCTCTAAAATAAATAAATAAATATTTAAAGTGCCATTTCCAGTAGTACTAAAAATATGAAATACGGGGTGCCTGGCTGGCTCAGTCACGTGACTCTTGATCTAAGGTTTGGCAATTCAGGCCCCACATTGGGTATAGAGACTTCTTTAAAATATATTAAATAATGGGTGGCTCAGTTGGTTAAGCGTCTGCCATTGAGCTCCCTGCTCAGCAGGCAGCCTGCTTCTCCCTCTCCCTCTGCCCCTTCCCCCACTTGTGCTCTTTCCCTTGCTCTCTCTCAAATAAATAAATAAAATCTTTTAAAAATAGATGAAATACTTAGAATAAGTCTGAAAAAATGTACAACACCATACAGTGAAAATTATAAAGTGTTTGAGGGAAATCAAAGAAATCCTAAAGAAATGAAGAGATATTCTATGCACATTGGTCAGAAGAGCCAATAAGGTAACTATGCCAATTTTACCAAAACTACAGTATCATTACAATCCCATTTCAAGTCCCGATAGGATTTTTTTCTTATTTTTAGAAATCAACTAGCTAATTCTAAAATTCATATGGAAATTCAAAGGACCTAGAATAGCCAAAACAATTTTGAAATAGAAAAAGTTGGAGGACTTAATACTACCTAGTTTCAGTCTTAATGTAGAGCTTCAGTAATTAAGGGAGTGTAGTGTTGACATAAAGATAAACAAATAGGGGCGCCTGGGTGGCTCAGGTGCTTAAGCATCTGACTCTTGATCTCAGCTCAGGTCTTGATCTCAGGGTTGTGAGTTCAAGCCCTGCATTGGGTTCCATGCTGGGTGTGAAGCCTACTTAAAAAAAAAAAAAAAAAAGAGATAAATAAAATGGAAGGTCCATAAACAGACCTCATGTATATAGTCTATTAATTTTTAACAGACACACACAGGAAACTCACTGAGGAAAGGATAATCTTTTCCAAAACATGGCACTGGAACAAGTGAATATTCTTATGCAAAAAATGACTCTCCATCTGTGTCTCATGTCATATCCAAAAATTACTTCAAAATGGATCATGGACTAAATATAAAACCTAAAATTTGTATAAAACTTCCCACAGAAAACATAGGGGAAAACTCTTTGTGACCTTGGATTAGGCAAAGATTTCTTAAATGTGTATGAAGATCATGATTTATAAAATCCAAATCTGATAAATTAGAATTCATCAAAATTAAGAACTTCTGTTCTGGGGTGCCTGGGTGGCTCAGTCGTTAAGCGTCTGCCTTCGGCTCAGGTCATGATCCCAGGGTCCTGGGATCGAGCCCCGCATCGGGCTCCCTGCTCTGCGGGAAGCCTGCTTCTCCCTCTCCCACTCCCCCTGCTTGTGCTCTCTCTCTCACTATGTCTCTCTCTGTCAAATAAATAAATAAAATCTTAAAAAAAAAAAAAAAAAAAAAAAAAAGAACTTCTGTTCTTTGAAAGACACTCTCTTAAAAGAATGAAAAGAAAAGCTGAAGACTGGAATAAAAATATCTGATGAAGGACTCATATCCAGAATATGTAAATCATTCTTAAAATTCAATAACAAGAAAACAACTTAATTTTTTTGAATGGGCAAAATATTTGGACAAACACTTCATCAAAGAAAATAAATGGATTGCAAAAAAACCCAATAAACAAAAAAACCATGAGTAAATGCTCAATATCATTAGTCATTAGGGAAATGCAAATTAAAACCACCATGATATACCACATATCCATTAGAATGTGTAAGATTTAAATGACCGACAATACCAAGTGTCATCGAGGGTATGGAGCACCTGGAATACTTATATACTGGTAAGAATGTAAAATGTTGCAGCCACTTTGGAAACAGTTTGGAAGTTCCTTAAAAAGTTAAACATACAATTATCATGACTTAGCCACTCTACTCCTGGGTATTTACCTAAGACAAATGAAAGCATGTGTTCATAAAAAGGCCTGTACCTAAATGTTCATATTCGCTCTATTGTTTTAATGAAAAACTAGAAACAAGTTAAGTAACTTTCTTCTTTTTTTTTTTTTTTAAAGATTTTATTTATTTGACAGACACAGCGAGAGAGCACAAGCAGGGGGAACAGCAAAGGGAGAGGGAGAAGCAGGCTCCCTGCCAAGCAGGACCCTGGGATCATGACCCGAGCCGAAGGCAGATGCTTAACCATCTGAGCCACCCAGGCGCCCCTAAGTTAAGTAACTTTCAATTGATGAATGG